TCTGGTGAAGGTATTTTCATGTGTGGATAACTATTCAAATTGATGTTTCTGCAGGGGGATGGTCCCTGGGGAGTCCTGTTTTGCCATCTTGCTCCACCCTCTCCTATCGAGCTATATACTCAGTACTAATTTTCTTAAATTTGCATCATCTAATTTAGTTTGAGTTCCAAAGTTTTGCAATCAAAGCCAGGCCATCTTTAACAAAACTTAATTTTATCTGGCAACTCCTGCCTTTGTGTCCATTAGTTCTAAGCATCTCTTTTGCTGCTCTAATAAAAGTGCCCTTGAAGCTTCTCTACGAGCTTTGTTTGTTGTACAAGCTGTTCTTTCTCATCACAGCTATCTGCATCCCTACAGAAAATACCAAAGACAGCAGCACTATTCCAGAGTTCAAAAGACACTATGCTACTGGGACTATCAAAGAGAAATAATTCATTCTCCTTTTATTCTTCATCTAATTTTATTATATATTTAAGAGAACTATCCATTATCTTTTATGTTCTCTACCTAAGATTTATTAGATATGATGCTTCACACTGGCTTCATGAAAGGTTGTGGTTTGATAAAGTCTTTTGAATCAGAAGAGATCCCAGGATATTGTTATCTGGTAGCATAGGCCTTCAGATGAAAATTCCAGACCTCTTGCTGTTTAGGATTCATTCTGAGAGAAAGAAACATTTGCAAAGCAAACATGTAACCAAAATAGACTTGTCTTTTAATTAAACCAATGCAGCTGATGGTGTTTATGAAGTTTATTATTCCTTTTTAGATTTCAATACTTTAAATATTTTAGGGTAATTTCAATTCATTTCACTGAATCTTCCTTGTGCAGCCAGAAAATATAATGCTTTTAATTAGCAGTCGAATAAATTTAGTTTTTTAAAATGAAAAAATTTCTGTCTTCATAGAGATGTTCTGATTTCAGAAGCATATGTTAGGACTAAAATCCAAAGAAAAACAGGTGCAATGAGAGTTTATTTTTGGTGCTGTTGCAGTACCCACTTGTCAACTGTGTGGGCACAATAATGTTAGTCATGTTAATAAGTTTTGCCTTAGTTTTTGCATCTATGTATTTTTATTAATTATTATTATTATTATTGTTTGGTAGTACTGGGGTTTGAACTCAGGGCTACACTTTCTAAGCAAATACTTTACCACTTGTGCCACTCTGCCAGTCCTTTTTTGTGGTGGGTACTTTTGAGATAGGGTCTTTATTTGTCTGAGCTGGCTTCAAATCAGGATTCTCCTGTACTCTGCCTCCTGAGTAGCTAGGGTTACAGGCATGACCACTGGCACCTGGTTATTTATGTTTATGGAAAGTTTAGAAACTAAGCTATTAATAGTCGTTACCTATTTTTTATTTTAATATTTTTGTATGTATTACTTTTGTAATTAAAAATACATTTGTGAATTGATTTTTTCAAATCTGTTTTCCTGCATTTTAAAATAATTTTTCCATTTTAATTATTTTATTAGCATATATTCATTGTACAGGGAGAATTCATTGTGACAATTTTGAGTAGCCTTACATTATACATTGTTTAGATCTCTCCACCAGTTCCCTCCACCTCCCTGACCTGCTCTCCACCCTATAAAGCAATTGTAATAGGTTTCATCATTCTATTTCATATCTGTATATGAAGCATATTTCCTCACCTTCATTATCTCGATTCACCCCCCCCACAACTGTTCCCTCTATTGTACCTATTTTACAGTCCTTTCATTTTTAGTTCCAAAGTTAATGTTCAAAGGGGTTTCTCAGTGTATCCCTGCTGTGAATATACTTTACTTTGGCCAGTTCAACCCCCTCCATTACTGTCCCTTACCCTTTTCCTTATACTTCCTATTATTCAGCAGCTTTCAGTATGTATTGTTATACACAGATGTAATGTATTTCAATATTAATGACTCTATCATTCTCTTTTCCTTTTCCTTCCTCCCCTGAGTTCCATAGAGCAGTTCCACTGTTACAAACATGTTCTACTTTTAAATGTATATGTGATCATGGATGTTTATATGTATGCATTCATCTTTTGGACCTATCTTCCACATGGGAGAAAACATGTTGACTTTTATCTTTCTGAATCTGGCTTACTTCACTTAACATGATGTCTTCCAATTCCATCCCTTTTCTTGCAAACAACATAATTTTATTCTTCCTTATGGCTGAATAAAACTCCATTTTGTGTGTGTATATCACATTTTCTTGATCCACTCATTAGTTTTGGGGCATCTGGGTTGTTTTCATAGCTTGGCTATTGTGAAGAGTGCTGCAATGAGATAGGTGTGCAAATGTCTTTATTGTATCTTGAGTTACATTCCTTTGGGTATATGCCCATGAGTGGTATCACTGGATCATATGACTTCAAACTATATTACAGAGCCATAATAATCAAAACAGTGTGGTGCTGGCAACAAAACAGACACAAAGACCAATGGAACAGAATAGAAGACCCAGACATAAATCCATGCAGCTACAGTCAACTGATTTTTGATGAAGGAGCCCCAAAACAGAGAAAAGGCAGCTTCTTCAATAAATGTTCCTGGTAAAGCTGCATATCCATATGTAGAAGACTAAAACTAGATCCCTGTACTAAAATCAACTCAGAGTAGATCAAAGACCTTAATATAAGGCCTGCAACTTTGAAACAACTATAGGAAGTAGTAGGAAATATATTGGAACAGATAGGCATAGGCAACTTCTTCCTAAATAGAACACCAATGGCTCAACAATTAAGAGAAAGGATGAACAAATGGGACTGCATCAAACTAAAAAGCTTCTGCATAGCAAAAGAAATAGTCACTAGACTTAAGAGACTATCTACATAATGGGAGAAAATCTTTGCCAGCTATTCATTCCATAAAGGACTAATATCTACAATCTGCAGGGAGCTCAAAAAACTCAACCCTAAAGAATCAGCAGCCCAATGAAGAAATGGGCACGTGAATTAAACAGGGAATTTTCAAAGGAAGTGGTACAAATGGCCAATAAATACATGAAGAAGTGCTCAATTTCCCTGGCTATAAAAGAGATGCAAATCATAACTGCACTAAAATTTCATCTCACCCCAGTTAGAATGACTATCTTCAAGAGCAAAAATAATAACAAATGTTGGTGAGGATGCAGGGAAACAGGAACAATAATACACTGTTGGTTGAAATAAAAATTAGTACAATCATTATGGAAAGCAGTATGGAGATTCTTTCATTTTTGCTTTTTTACTTTTTATTTTTTTGTGGCACTGGGGTTTGAACTCAGGCTCAGGGCCTTGAGCTTGCTAGGCAAATGCTCTACTGCTTAAGCCACTCTACCAGCCCTCTTTCGTTTTTAATAAACTTTATTTTATAAATAAGTCTTAGGTTCATGGCAGAATTGTGAGGAAAGAACAGAGATTTCCCACATACTTCCTGACTCCACATTTATAGCCTTCCCCACTGTTAAAGTCCCCCACAAGAATACAATGAACAATCTTACATTCATACATCATTATCACTCAAAGTCCATAGTTTATGTTAGGATTCACTCTAACACAAGAGTTTGTGTTAGGGTTCACAACACAGTTTGTGTTAGATACATCAGTCTCTGGCTTTTGACAATTGTATTGAAGAAGGTATTATTTGAGACTTGATTCTGCTTTTACAGACTGAAGGGCCTTTGGCTTTTTGGCCTTTGATCAAGGGCTAGGGACCTTTTATAGAGGGCCCAAGAGGGATGACAAAGATCTGTAAAGAAGTGTACTTTCTTAGATAACATTTCCTTTCATTAGTGGCTCAGTTCTATATACTCACTCTCCTCGTGCACATCAATTAAATACCACTTAAAAAGTCCTAACTGCCCACAACCATTGGATTCATACAAAGATGACCAAGAGGAAGCGAGCAAGACATGCTCTAACTAGAATTTGACCAAATTTGTCATGTGTGAGTACTCCATGGAAGAGAAGAGCAGCCAAGTAGCGCTTCAAAGCTTCAAACCACAATCAAAATGCAGCATTGTTTCACAGAGAAGTAGTAGCCAAACTCTGCTGACAGTAATATTTAATTATCTGCTCACTCATCCAGGAAGAGACCAGTTACTACTGAACTTTGATTGTGTTCAACCCAATACGTGAGTGTTCTTAATCCTTAGGTTTAAAAGGTTGTAATTTAATTAGAAGTTGGAGTTTTCCTGGAAAAAGCTTGTAGGTTTACAATGTTTCTGGGAGAGTGTGTTAGTGGATGTCTTATATGTCTTCCATCTGGCAGATCCTGGGAAGATTCAGGAGATTGTTTATCTGTTCTTAAGTCAATGACAAACCCTCTTCAAAAGTGATCAGTGAAAACAGGATTAATTTATTATTCTCTTTGATCATTATTAAGAGAGCACTTTAATGTTTATTTACATAAGTACACATCTAGAGCCAGATGTGGTCTAGATATGTCTGTAATATCAGCTACTTGAGAACTGTAGTTTGAGGCCAACCTAGGCAAAATGCTAGTGAGACTCCATCTCAACAAACAGCCCAGGTGTGGTGGTTGAAGCTGTAATCTCAGCTGTGTCAGAGACATAGGTAGGAGGATTGCAGTCCAGGTAGGCCTGGGGAAAGGAGTATGAGATCCTTTCTGAAAAACAGAGTCAGAAAGGGCTGAATGTGTGGCTCCAATGGTAGCCCTGAGTTCAAACTCTAGTACTGCAAAAAAATGCACATCTAGAGATTTCTTATTTATTCTGGAAGTTAGAATAATTTTATTATAGAAAAGAAAAATAAAGTATTTAATGTTAACTTCCTTTCATAAAACTATAAAGATAGATTAATAAAGAAATTTCCAAAGAAGTGCTGGAGAGTTGAGTTATTTCAATCAACGAGACACATGGGACAGTGGAGGCTCAGTAGACTGAGAATTTTGAGAGTTAAACAACTATTTCTGAACACAACATGGTTTAATTTCAGCTACTTTCCAGTCATGCCTTAGTCAAAATGATTTCTTGTGTTGTTTGTGTCTTTTTACTGTCCCAACAGAATTTCTTTACTTGATAACTGCATTTAACATGGCCTATCCAATTTCTACCTGGAGATTTAAGTTGTTTTGTGTGCCACCAAATATAACGGATGACTACTTCCTCTTGTCTGCTGGAATCTCAAAGAATACTTCAAATCTGAGTGGAGATTATGAGGCAGTTGCTGAAACTAAATTTAATTCAAGTGATACCTATATTTCTAACTTACCCAAAGTGACTTTCCACTGTTGCTTTGAGAGTGAACAAGATGTAAACTGTTCAGTCCATGCAGACAACATTGAAGAGAAGACAGCTGTTTCAACAGAAAATTCTTTCATTTTTCAACAACTAGGTAAGTACCTTTAACAGTTATGTTCTAATTGTATTGAACTAAATGTTTTAATTCTTTGAAACTTTTATGGGTAGATGTCTTATGGATGGCATTCTCAACACATATTATTATTTTTGTATTCATAATAAAGTTAGTATTCATCAGATGACCAAATTAATAAATAGGTCCGAAATCATTTTATATCCCATAATAATGTAGTAGGAGAACTCTTTTTACCTTTAAGTACATTCTTTGTAGTCTTCTAAATTTTCTTTGAAGGAAGAAAAGTATGCTGTATTTTGTTAAATAGGCAAAATATTAAATTATGGATAACTATTAAAATTGTTAAATTTTAAATTGTTCGTGAAAAATAATGATTTGTTCAGACAAGGGAAATCTCTAAAGCAATATATGCTTAAATCAAGGGCTTTTTGTTGTTTTAAGTATAATACATACTAAATTTAGCTAGTTTAGTTAATAATTCTGCATCTGAAAGTATAAACAACAAAATTATTCCCAAGTCTTCTGAGAAGGCTACATTGAGCAGAGTTGGTTGAGTCAGCCATATGAAGACACCCATGATATGAAGATGCAGCACACCTAAGTACAACAGTCCTGCATGGGTTAATGAAGACTTCTCAATGGATACCAAAGACATTTTGGCCCAGGTGATTCCTGGTTCTGGGGGCTGATCTGTGCATTGTGGATGCTTCACAACTGCCTCAGCCTCTACCCACTAGATGCAGTAACACTCCCTCACAAGTTGTAATAAAAAAATCTTCCCAGTCAGGCATGGTGGCCCACACCTGTAGTCCTAGCACTCAGGAGGCTAAGGCAGGAATATCAGGAGTTCCAGGCCAGTCTGGGTGAGACCCTATCTTGTAAACAACGAAAACAAAACAATCAAAAAGCCCTCCAGATAGTGCCAGATGTCCTCACCTAACGTACAAAAATCACCCCCAATTCACTGTTGATTAGATAGAAGAAACACTATGTTATGCTGAAACTAGTTTAGGACAAAGGATGAAACGTAAATACATAATAAAGTCAGATTTTTTTAAAAGCAAGTTAGTGGGAATAACTACCAGTGCCTCCAATTCAGTTCATAGACATCAATTTCATGAAATGAATCATTTTTAAAATTTGTAAGGAAACTTAACTTAGCCAAACCAGTGATTATTAAATAAGGTAAGCATGAACTTAAGGAGTCAGTGTCCCGATGCTGAATCTTGAAATAATAAGAAATGTTAATACTTTTTTCAGTTATTAAGGGAATGGTTATGATGCTATATATTTTAATTTCATATTATAAATAAGGGCTAATAACTAGCTTTCTTTCTTTCTTTCTTTTTTTTTTTTTGAGGTACTAGGGTTTGAACTCAGTGCCTCACGCTTGCTAGCCAGGTGATCTACCACTTGAGCCATATTTCCAGTCCCAATAACTATTTAACTTTTAATTGAATTTAACTTTTTGACTGAAATTACTAGATTTAGTAGTGATTAATGTGGATATTAATTTATTATTCTTCCTAGTAAATTGTTTCTTTCATAGTGTTACAAAGTCTCTAGTAGCTGGAACTCTTCTGGTTAGTCTTAGTGTTGTCTTAATTTAGTCAGGATTTTTAATTGTTGCTGTATTCCTGCCTTATAAATGAAAGATCACCCATAATTTATCTATCAGTATTTGGTGAGGTTTTAGTGTGCAGTGAAATATACTTTCATCAGTTGTATTTGAGGTCTATGATATTACAACAGCAAAAATCTAAGCATGTATCACAGTTCAAATATGAATCACTGTGTCTTTGTTTGCAAAGTTAGACATATAAATATCTCCCATTTTGCATGTACCTTGATAGGTTATGTTTATTTTTCTCTTGAAAAGTGAGAATGAATTGAGTCAGATGAATTTTGAATTTTTTTGTCCTACTTAAGTAGTTTAGGATTAAAGACAAGTTTGGAAGCAATATTTGAATTTAATTCTTATTTTTTAGAAAAGGAAAATGAGGGTCAAAGGTATTAAATTACTTGGGTAAGCATACTGCTAGTTAGAGCTTGTTCTTTTTCCTCTCAGAATGGGTAGTGGAAGTTGTATTGGCACACTGGTAAATTCAATTTAGCGCTTCTTTTGCACTGAACTGTTCAGAAGGTTTTTCAGATTTAACGTAGTGTATTTTTAATTCAGGTGCAAACTGGAACATACAGTGCTGGATGAAAGGGGACATGGAATTATTCATCTGTTATGTGGAGCCATTATTTAAGAATCCTTTCAAGAATTATGACCTTAAAGTCCACCTTTTATATGTTCTGTAAGTACCAAATAAATTAATTTGGCTAGTTCTACTACCTATTTTTTTTTTTTTTAAAAGCTGCAAAAGCCTCCATGTATAGAACTGGATTATGAAACTTCTACCATCCTTACATTTCCTTTTATACCTACATATATCTATAGGGGTGGTTTATATGGGTTTTTTATACAGCACTCTGATCAATTAGGTTTCCTTTCTTCTTGTTGATCCAGATAGCAAGATATCGCAGCAACAGATGGACATACAGTTTGCAAGAACTGTGAACTCAATTCAGGGGTCCTAGATATTTGAGTGGAAAAGGGAAAACTTTCGCTTTGCATTTCTTCTTCAAAAAGAGTTTTTCACATTTGATCTATGGACTTGAAAATGTAAATAATATTTATTTGTGCTATGCAGAGAGCCAAGATGGTGGTTTTGAGCAGTCATTTACTTCTAATTCCAACAAGTAGCATAATTCATGTTTTCTTATAGCTCCAGTAACAGTATACATTTTTTATTTTTTCATTTATTTTATTAGATGCTTAAAGAAAAAGAGACTTCCTCAGTACTATGGTTATTGAGATCATACCAGTGAGGGCAATGTGCTATAAAGCTGTATCCACATAAAGATGAATAAATATAGAAAGTAGAATAGTGGTAAACAGGGGTTGGGAGAGGGGGAAATGGGAGTTATTGCTTGGTTCATACAGAGTTGCAGTTTGAGAAGATGAGAAACAGCTCTGGAATTGGATGGTGGTGATGGTTATGGAATAATCTGAATGCACCTAATGTCACTATACTTGTGCTTAAAATGGTTACAGTGGTAAATTGTATGTTATGCATATTTTAGCACAATAAATTTTTTTAAAGAAACTTCAAGACATGTCAAAATGTAAAAATGAATAGTTATGCTCTCTGCCCTTGAGGTACTCACAAGCAAGTGGTTGGGACCCACACGTACGAGGCTTCAGTTTCAGTGGTTACTTATATGTAGGATGGGCACATGCTCTTAGGAGCATTTGATTGTCCTGGGGCCTTGATGATGGAGGGATGCAGTCCAGCTGGTGAGAGAAGAGAGGAGGGAAGGTTGCTTAAGGAACTAAAAAGAAAATGTGTGGGTGGTATAGTTTTTTGCCAATTCAGCATCACTTGGAAACTTGATAAAAATTTAAATTATATAGCTCCATCCCAGAACTAGTAAATCCATAAGTCTGGGGGTAAGGTTCATTAATCTATTTTTTTGAACCAAGCCTTTTAGGTGATTCTGATGGAGCTCAAGTTTGAGAATCCCTGGTAAAGAAGTTAATGTGACAGATTTTAGAGTCAGGCTACCTGGCCCTACCACTTACTAAATATACATACATGATACTTACAGTTTACCTCCAGCAACTAACTCAGTGGACACAAAAAATGTTTAAAATTTATTTGTTGAATGAGTGAGTGCATCTTGCCAAAATGTTTTCTATTTTTTTTGCCAGTTTACTCTTCAGAAATGTCTTAATGAACTATAAAGAAATAAAATTTTGGAAAGTGGTAGGAGTTGAGAGGTCCATTGTTAGATATAGTAGAAATGCTTTAAATAGTGATTATATTTATGGATTTGGCAGTGGGGAAGCCTTGGGGATTTCAGCGAGGGCTGATTTCAGTGAATGGAAAAGGAGGTTGCTACAACTAGGGGAAACTTGGAGAAAGAACCTAGAGGAGCTGACCTCTGAGGATGTTGGTAGTAATTCCTCAGGTGCTTGATTGTGGGCCCTGCAAAGCTGGAGCTCATACATCTGAGAAGGAGATGCAGACAGTGTACTCAGTGGCTGGTTCTGAGAATGTAGGGAAAAAAACCTGGTGACTGGAACCAATTGCTGCTGAGTGGTGATACTTTCAGGAACTGGAATCAAAAGAGGAAGGATCAAGTCCTTTGGTCCTCCACTAACCTTCTAGTCTTCTTCCTCTAACACTATCAGTGTTCACAAGACTTTAGGCAATAGATTAATGGTTTGCAGAGTACCAGCTTCAGCATGACAAGACAGAAAGACAGGCTGGCTTTGAAACTGAGAGACAATAGCTTAATAACCAGCATCATTTCCCCTTTGGCTACTTAGTATGCACATGCCTTTCTGTACATATTTGAACTTCTTTATATCTTTCTGCTTTCACCTAATAAAATGCAACAAAAGGAGGCAGTCTTACCCATCCCCCAAATGGGATGATGTTGTGTCCCAATTCCACTGTGCCTATTTCTAGGCAATATTCACAGTATTGATCTCTGGACAGTATTAAATGCTTTTCATATTCTGTCACAGTTCTACCCCTGAATGAATATTCTGGAAGCTAAATAGTAAATTGTAAAGTTAAAACCACTGAGAATCCTTACACAAAATAATATGGGGATGAATGAGATTGAGAAGACATTTGTTAATATATGCAAACATACTACACACACACATAAACACACACAACACACAAACTTATTACACACACACATAAACACACACACAACACACAAACTTATTACACACACACATAAACACACACACAACACACAGACGTATTATGGATGCCCACGGGTAGGTACAGGTAGGTAGTTGCCTTAATCCATTTCTGCTGCTGAGGCAATGTGCTCAGGTTTAAAACTCTGTGAACGTGTGTAAGGGTTTACCTTTATTTTGTGTAGACAGAAGTTAAGTCTTGAGGTCTTCATTTTCTGAGAAAAAGAAAAAAAAAACACATACATATATCAGAGCACTACAAGTTGGTATAGTAATTTATCTACACCTGAGAATTGTAACTTCAGTTTAGTCAACTGAGCATTTACTAGTTTATTTATCTAAACAGCAGGATCCAGAAAAGTGAGAAAATGGTGATAAATTATGGAGTTTTCCAACTTGCTTATTCAGTGAATTTAAGTGATTCCTGTTAAATTGCTTTTATTATTTAGACTCATGATTCTAAATTTATTACTACAGTAAAACCTGTCATTTGCTTGAAGTTTGAAAAGCACCCTCTCATTTTTTTCTGTCACGTTACTCCTCTGTGTGATTTGGTTAATATGTTCATTATATAACTGTTGCATGTTATTTATGCCGTGAGTTCTATTTATGTGTCAATATATATATCTAATTTAAATAGGGCTCTTTAGATTAAAAATAAGAAGTAGTCAGTATTGTTTCTTCCATAGAATAATGGTGGTTATTTTAGAAAAGGTTTTGATTGAAATCTTTTCGTTTCAACAGAGAATTCACAAGAGAAATCTTTCAAAGGCTTCCATGTGTGAAAAAACAAAATTTTAAGGAACTAAAACCTGGTGTTTGTAAGGGACTTAAAACCCTATAAATATGGCCATGAAGGAAAAGCATTGTTTGAGTTCAGATATTAATGTTTGTCAGGGAATCTTCAGGACAGATACTCTAGAAATGTGATACGTAAGAACTGCTTTAGACATTTCATCTCAGGCCTAGGAAGGAAATTCTTTTCCTTTTATAAGGTGACTGCAGTGTGTACCACATGCCGAACTGGGTACAGGGAACAGTGTCCAACCGCACAGGCTCAACCCTTGCCCTTGTGGAGCTGACAGTCTGTTGTATAAACAGAAAATGTAACAGCCAAGCTTGAAAATACTGAGACATAATAAATAGCAGGACATTTGGAAACAGGTACCAGGAATATCCAGCCCAGATTAAGAGTGGGCAGGGGACAATGAGCTGAGGAGAGTGAAGAGTATTTGCAATGGCCCTGAAGCACGTACAGCACATTTGAGAACCAGGAAAGTTGAGTGTGGTTGGGCTCAGAAGCCAGGCAATGAAGACGGATCAGCAAGGGCAGATTGTGAAGGGCCTTCCAGGTCGTGCTGGGGAGTTTGGACTTTTGCAATGACTAACACTAGTTTGCTTTGACTCCTCACCATTACTCTGTCAGTATTCTTGGTGATTTCAACATCTATGTGAATGAGCTTCCATTCCTTGAATGCTTTCAATACTTGTGTTTTTTACCTCACCTATTTTACCCATCCTCATGCACATCCTTTAGATGTCGTCACTGCTAAGCCTGGATTTCAGTAATCTCAATTTCAAGAATCCCATTCTTTTATAATGTCTTCCCTCACCTTTCATGTTAGTTTATTCCCTCTATTGCCTAACTTTATGGAGAATTCTCCACAGTTCTTGACGATCTGGGCACTTGGTTCTGCCCTTCCTCAGGAAAGGCAGCATATATCTGTAGCTGAGTAAAACTACTCAGCTCAGCCTGCTCTTCTCAGTGCAATTATGGGGGAGTTCAATGGTTTTTTTATCTTCCATTTCGTGTAGTCTCTGTCTCAGTCCTAATATTGGAAGTATATATTAGAAATGTTTGCAGTTCATTTTAGCAATATTCCTGCTAATTTAATTCCCTTCCAAAACCACACACACTTCCTGCTCAATCTATTGAAATTTACTTATCAGATAAAACCCCACAAGTCTCCAGGAGGGAATCCCTTCTCCACCTTCTCTTCTCAACATTTACTCAGAAGCCATTTCTTAATTTTAACACACTTCCTATCTGGGGAGGCAGGACTCTTCAAAACCATCAAGTCGTGGTTCCTTTTGTTTAACGTCCCTTTCCTCTGTGCTAATCTGTTTCTATAAGGTAAGAAGGAATTAAGAGGAACTTCCTCCAGTTTCCAATAATGTTCCTCAGATCCTTTGTGCTCTTGCCAGTAGTGTCCTTGACTAGCGGGGCTATGTCAGTACCCACATGATTTCTCTGTCTCCTTTTATTGTGAATGGATTCTCTGTGTTCTACTTCTCATGCATTCTGAGACCCATACATTGTTGGCTACTCAATTCCTCTTTGCTGCATTGTGAAGTTTCTATTATAGCTGATAGGGATAACTCCCATTTAAAACATAACTCTCCCTTGCTTGGAAGGATGAGAGAGGGAGAATCTTGGTTCGAGGCCAGCCCTGGCAAATAATTCAAAAGACCCCCCCATCTCCAAAATTACCAGAGCAAAATGGACTGGAGGTATGACTCGAGTGGTAGAGTATT